GTCTCAGACATTTGCTTCAAAACTAAAGTTGCTAAAGTTCATAACATAATTAAATAAATTAGTAATAAACATAATTATAATTATCAAATCTTCATCCGTTGATTCTTTTAAATTTAAAAATATTATAAACTTTATAGCCAAACAATCAGGCATTTCTTGTGGCAAATGAAAATTGAAGTCTCAGACATTTGCATCACAACTAAAACTTCCTGAAGTTCTTTTCGTACAACATAAATAAATAATTTATCAATACTATAATTATAATTATAAAAGCGTCATTCGTTCATTCTTTTAAATTTAAAAATATTATAAACTTTATAGCCAAACAGTCGTGCATTTCTTGCGGCAAATGAAAACGGATATTGAAGTCTCAGACATTTGCATCACAACTAAAAGTTTCTTTTCATACATTTAAATTTGAAAATTATAGAAATTTCAATCGTGCAATAGCAATTGCTTGTGTTTATTTTGTGGCAAGTGTAAACTGAAATTGAAGTCCAATAATATGAATAAATGCGTATATCATGTTGAATATTCACTTTAATGAACATCTTTGCATCGCCTTTCCACGTGCACTCAGTTGCCCAACTTTGAATTGGTTTAGGGCCATATATAATTCACTGTTCGTTGCATTTTGCAGTGTGGGCGGAGTGTGTGAGGAGGAGCCTGTAATTAGATAGCTCATTAGAGTCAAATATATTGCATACTTGAATAATTTTGTGCATGTGTAAATACTCATTAAATGCAATTCGCGTGCGAGTAAGTAGCTTTGAGTGGGGCTTGAGCGCTTTCGGGAACTTGGGCTATTAACTTGGGAGTTAAATGCCCAAATCATGCTATTCGCTTACTTGCTAACAAAGCGTAGTCAGGGAGATTGTAATGGAGAGCGGGAGAGCATAGAACAATCATTGAAAATATGCAACAAACACATGAAATGGTCCACACTACCTAATTTTCAATACAGTTTGAGTAGCGTGCGAAATCTTAAACCGATTTGCCATTCCCGAAATGCTTGACTCACACTCAGATACATGACATCATTGCCGGTATTGAAAGCAGCATTCCAAGACCATGCCAGCCATGGATGGCTAGCTTTTGTTTCGGGTTTCGCTCTGTTTGATTGTGGCAGCATTCTGTTTGGCATTGTATTTGGTGCTTTGCCGAGGGGTCCATGGGTCCATTGGTCGATTGGTCGGTCATTCGCTTTAGACAGGTCGATAGAGAGACTGGCTTGCAGAAGTAACTGCTAATGACACAATCGATTGGATGTTACTTGTTTTTCAATATTATTTTTAAGAGGAGTCATGGCCCCTCTTCTCCGAAACGTGGGTAAATAATCTCTACAGATATGGTGCTATGGTTGTGTAAGCTTTCTGTGGGCATACTTGTATGAATGGCAGGAAATCGGCTTAAAGCTCGCATAATTCCCAAACGCTATTTTATGTGTATAGTATATGAGCGTGTTCTTCCGCTTGTTAGCCTGCAAAACGGGGAAACAATGTGCCTGCCAAATAAATAATGTTGTAAAGAAATCGTTAAAAATGATTTGCATGCAAAGCCTCACCTAAAATATGAAACGCACACATGCCATAAATCTTCTAAACTACCGTGTGCAAATTGATTTGTTGCTCTCCCCGAATCAAATTAAATGAAATGCAAAATGCAACCGCAGGCGCGGACAACACACATGTGCACTCAGAGACAAAACGAAAATAAAATCACGAAATAGATTAATTAGACAATCAATTAAAAATGTAAAACAAAATAATTATTATAAACTTTTTATGCGAAATTATTGTTCTGCATGTAAAAATAATCGATGCAAAGCTTAAAGGAGCGCTGAACTTTAAATTCCGAAAATTATGATTCGATTGCATGTAATGGCATTATTAATATTATTATTTGTATTTTTATTATTATTATTATTCAAATATCAAGCTAAAAACTAAAGCACTGTTCAACAAAACAATATTCATATTCAGTTGGTCATTAGGATATTGTCTGCAACAGCCAGACTTTTGAGTGAGAGACCTAAGACATTGACTTCCTTACTCATACAAAAAGCTCCTATCGAAGCCATTTACTTGCCATACCTAAGCTTGAGGGTTACACTTTCAGCAATAAATTCAATATAATCAAAAAGATCACAGGTATGGAATATATACTTGTATGTATTTTAACTAGACTTTTCTAGACTTTAAAACGTGAACCTTCTTGGTGGAAATACAGTAATTGATCAGATCAATTAGAAATGTGTCTGGAGTAGGACATAAGTTTGAATAAAATTATGAATAATTAAGACGGCTGAATTTAGAGTCACTCGAGGCACTAACTTTTACCAAAGCACGGGCCAAGAGGGAATTGGGAATTCCTTTAGAGTCTGAGGTGATTGGGATATCTAGCTATAGAGCAATTTTACTAAGACTCGGGTCTTCGAGTGCTGATTTTCTCGCAGTGTTTTCGCTGTCACATATGCATACGGCTTATAGGCGGCCTTTAGGCAAATGCAATAATCGCGGTATAAAATCAGCTGCGCCGCGACATGACGAATCGTGCTGTGGTCGATGCAAAAGCCAATGCTGATGCTGACGGTGACGGCGACGCCGACGCTGACGCCGACGCCGACGGTGACGTTGTCGTCGTGGTTCGCGCCGCGTATAAATAAATTGTAATTTGCCAATTGTGTGTAAAAGTTATTAGCGATAAGTTTTACTGTTACAGCAGCCGCTGTCCGAATGCAAATATGCTGTTGTTGTTATTGTTGTTGTCCGAATGACATCGGATATCAGGAAATAAGTACGTGAGTGTGTGTGGCATTCTTTTTGGCTTATGGATTATTAGTCACAGCTTGGCGTGACTTGAAAAAAAAAAATGTCTTAATAAAGCTTTCAAACAATATGCATTCAATTGAGCTTCATAAGAAATTAAAATTGATTTTCTTTGTTCGTTTTAATATTAAATTCAGTTTATCTCACTGTTGGATTTACTTAAGAGTGCCTGAAAGTTCTCTCTTTATTTTGGTTTTTATTTTACATTTATTTCATATTTTAATTAAATTATTTCTACAAACGTGCACATACTCGTTCAAATGGTCTAAGTCTATGAAAGTATTTACATGCAAATGACGCCAACATGTTACACACAACACACCTGCACACACACACACACACACACATAGCCAAGAAGTCGGTTGCACAAACACACACACACACACACACACACACACACACATATGCACAGAGGCATGGACAGTTTCTATGCTATTACCACCCGCACTTAACGTTAATTAAACTGCTGTGTGCTAAAATGTCTCTGTCAGTGTTGGTTGCAAGTAGCTGCGAGAGCTCACATACAAGCAACCAACAAGAGCAACAAAGCAAGGCAGCCGGCATGTGAGGTGCAAAGGGTGACTGTATGAGTGTGTGTGTGTGTGTGGCAGGCGTCTAGCAGCTGCTGTCGTTTTAATAGCTTAATGTAGTTACTTCCACTTTGAGTGTCTTCCATGGCAGCACACATAGCAACAGCAACGGCAACGGCAACACCAACAGAAACAAGCGCTGTGGCAGCAACGTCAACATAAATGTGCCTTTGCTAATAAAAAACACAACACTCAGCAAAATTGTTATGCAGCAAACTAAATCAACAGACATACACACACACACACACACACACGCATGCACACTGACAAACACTCTGAGCAAATTACAGAGCTATGACGACTATAACCAGCAAAAAAGCCATGTAAGCCGCACTTACTCGTACATGTTGTTCCCCACAGTATGTGCGCCGCTTACTTTTTGCCCACACTGTATAGTAGAAGCCTAGCACCTGGTGGGGGTGTGTGTTTGTGCGAAAGCATAGCGAAAAATATATAACTTACAAAGTTGAATTCGGCCTTTTTATACCCTTCATCTAACCGAAGACTCAAAGGGACTTTTAGTTTGGGAAATCTAATAAAAGAGCTGGTATTACTTGTATTCACAGAATCTATCAGCAAAACATTATTAGGCAAAACAAACAATATATATTTTTGTATCTGTCTGTCATCAAATGGTCGTTTGGATCACAAATAAAACTTAACATTTTCATGCTTATGGGCAATCTATCGCCTGCTTCCTGTAGTTTTTGATAGTAATGTAAAAAATTGGCAATATTTTAGTTCCATTCAGTAAAAACATTCAGCTCAATAGTGATTGAAACAAATGGAAAAATGGAATTAGTCTAACCTTCAATATAAAACTGTGTTTTTAAATGTGCTTATCGCGTTATAAAAAATCCGTATTTAAAAAATGATTTTTAAAGTATATTTTTGAACACACCCTTCGGTAACTACTATTTAGTGTCTAAAGTAACCAAGTTTGGAAATTATCTATACCTGCATCACTAATATTTATTCATTTATGACTGAAATTAGTTACCTTCTCAATTCTAGCTACAAGTTTGCTAATACGCCATAGTAAAGGGCATATCGAAGTCGTGTTTGCTTAGCTACAGTGCTTTTACTTTTCTCAATTGGTTGTTGTGCCGCCTGTGGCAGTGTCCAAGAGCAGTCGAATATGTTGCGAGTTTGGCAGAAACTAGACTCTGAGCTCGTTTCTGCATACCAACAGTTGCAGCTGCCGCTTCCACGCAGATCTAGCTGACTGATATACTTATCTCTGTGTATGAATGTTGGTAAGCCCGCAGACTATAGTGCTGGTGCGAAAACGCGTACATTTTGCAACAACGTCGCCGTCCGTCATTGTTAGTAACAGTGAAAAAAGTGAAATAATTGTTAAGGGGAAATGGCCCATTTGTTGTGGGTAGTTGCAGTTGCAGTTGCAAGCTGTTGGCTTTGATTTCATTAATTAGCAGTGGACGCAGTTGCGCACTTGCTCACTTGCTCACTTGTTGCTAATTAATGAGCTCTTTACACATGCAGTGCGAGTATGTGTATCAAGTATACGCCATGAACACATCAACATCCAATTATAATGTTTTATTTATTTATTTACTTGCAGCAACCGTAAAGAGAGCTCTGCGCTTTAGCATACAATGGCCCAACCACAATTGCTGCAAATCAAATTATCACGTTTCGATGCCCAACCCTGGGGTTTTCGCTTGCAGGGCGGTGTGGATTTTGCCCAGCCCTTGCTAGTGCAAAAGGTAAGCGAGACTTCAATTTTGAGCCCAAATTGCTTTTGTGTGTTTGAAAATATATTGGATTATGGCCAATTATGCATGATGCACATAGCCATAGCCGTCAGATTTACCTTAATTCAATCTATCAGCCAACGATTTCCAAATGGAATTTATATGTTTTCGCCATATGGGGCACATTTACAAAAAAATACAATTTTCAATAATGAATTAAGTTCGACTACGAGTTTCTACGTGAAAAAGCGTGCAAATAGTGAAAAGGTCTTCTCTTGTTAGTATTTCATTGGCACATTTTTTTAACCATTTGTTTTAAATGAACTTTTTGATAAAAATAAATTGGTATATGTGTTTATTTTTTGCGCGAATTTTGCGCACGGTACACAAACTGTTAAATTTTTCATTTCCCAACATATTTTCGTGCTGGTATGTACATAATTTATTTATTTATTTTTTTGTCTAACCCACTCATTCATAGACGCATTTATATATATAAATATATATATGTATTTACATTCAACAAATTGTTAAACGTTTATAAATTATTTCTAATAATTTGGCATTTTTAGTGACAAACACGAAATCTGCAAATCATTTGAAATATTTGACAACTTTCTGTGCCAGTGCGCGAAAAATTTGTCGTCTCGTGTGCTTAAACACAGATACATATATACTTTATTTGTATATATACACATACATGTGTGTGTGCGTATATATTTATGAATTTTATTCGTTTATTTTCTAATATCTGTTTAATTTTTATTTTTAATTCGAATATGCAGCCATTATTATTTATTATGTTCACAAAATTTAATCCCCTTATGTGAAAATAATTATTTTGTACATATCTAGATGTATACAGTAGTGAGCAAAATTAATTGAATGTTTGTCACATTTTGTTCTTATTTTGTTTGTTCTATTTGGTTTGAGATAGGAAAACAGCTGATCTGAAGAACAAGGCAACATTATGTCACATTTATTAGACCATTATCTATAAAGAAACAAATAAATTATAACGAAAGGAGAGATAGGAGATATATGGATACTGCCGCAAATTTCTACACTTCATTAGCACACTAATTAAATGTAAATAGCATTGGTAAAGAGCTATGTTTCTCCAAAGCCTGGAATACTCCATTTAATCGAAACAAACTTGACATGAATAATGAAATATGCGGCGCAATTCATGGCTGAAATGGAAGGCATATACAAATTAAAGTGTCACACATGATTAAGAACTGGCAGCGTTAAACTGTGTTACTGGACTAAATACTTAATATTCTGTATGTGCAGCTAATATTATTCTAAAAAGAAATTCTTAGCGTGAACAATACCATTATAATAGTGCACTACGCGCTACAGGATATTTGTGCATAACAACACAGCTTTCCATTTTTCCAATTTAGCATTGTTTGTTATTGTCAATGCCGAACAGTTCCAAAGTGTAAATATTTAATGAACTCAAAGGAATTCATTTCGTTGACATTTTTAAATACCAGAACCAATAACAAGAACTACGCGGTAACAACTTTGTTTGCTTTGGCATTACAAATGAGTTCAGCCGATGATCATCATGATGATGATGATGAATGTGGGCTGTTCGATGGGTGGGGTGGCAGCGAAATGCGCAATTTCTATTTGAACAGCTGCTCTGCTCTGTGTTGATTAATGTCAATGCTATGTGCTGGCTATTTAAAATAGCTCTTTCACTGCTTCTGCTTAACGAAAGTGTGAAATTTGTTGTTGGTAATGGTGCTTGAAAATTGCCAGCAGAAAGTAAAATTGAATGCGACTAGGCAGCGCTTGAAAATTGGCAATATTGGGCAGAGAGCAGAAGTCCAAATGCATTTGACAGCTTATGCATATTTAATTGGCTTTTAAATCAATTAATTGCTGCAACAATAATTCACACATCGCACACACACACACACAGTTCACACACATACTCATATGTACGATACGTACAGACATATGTGTGTATGTGTGTATAAATATTGGGCGCTTAAATTCAAAAGCCAATTAGTGCTCCAAACAATGCAGTCATGCCATCGAAAACACGAGTGTGGTTACCAAATTTACGCGACCGCACTTGCTGGCATCAATTAGTTTATCATAGAGAGCCAACGAATAGGAGTAGATGTGGCAGGAATGCTCGCAAAGGCAACAAAAACAACTGTGTTTGTATGCACAATAAACTTGTTAAAACAATGTTTACAACAATAGGCCATTAGCACTGACATAGTCAGTTCGTCAACTCATGTCGCTTGTGGCCAAAAAAGTAAAACCACCAAAATCCAAATACGTTAGTAGCGAATGCGATGGTAGTGGTCGGCGGCCGGGGGCCGTGATTGCATAAATAATTCCACTTTATGCAAAACTCACGCCATTTAAAACTAATGGCTATTGGGCTATTTTTAACGAGTTTTTCGTACGCTTTACTCTACTGTGACATTTCTCTATGCATAGGCTTCTTGCAATTGTTGGTTTGTTCGAATTGAATTTTATGTGGAAAGATACTTTACATTTTAAAGTGAATTACAGTTTGTTTTTGCCTTCGACCTTTGTGTGCTTTTCACAATTAAAGATCGGGTTCTATCACATCTGCCGATACTCAAATAGTGTAAGAAATAAGAAAATAGTTCGCATTATTTCGATTCTTTTCTGATATTTCTTTTAGGAAAGTTTGAGCGTAACACAAAATTCGTCGCAAATCTGATTTAAAACAAATTGCGAATGCGTGTGGGTGTTCAGGTGCCGCGTCCTTGTTTGTTTTGCAGGTTGGTCTCTCACAGGACTAATACGAGTAGGTGGAATAGCAGCGGCTGTTAAGCTGGGCTGAGCTGCATCTGGTGCCAGCTGCAGGGCAACCCAGAATCGAGTATTACGCATGCCACATGCCACATGCCTCAAACCACCTCACAATATTCTCTTCGTCCTGTTTGTTTGTCTCTGGAACGCTGGCTGACGCCTGCAGCTCTTTTCTGCGTGTTACGTGTCACTTTTGCGCTTTTTGAACACTTCAAGCTCAATTGAATTTAGAATGGCGCAGTTAAGCTGCAGTCATGGCTGCAAGTTCATCTGCTTCAGACAGATGTTGTTGCTATTGTAGATGCTGAACTACGTTGAAAGTTTGCTGGCAGCATAATGAGTTGCCATTGCCTTGATTTGTTACAGCATTTGTGAAACCTTGCGTGTGTTTGTGGCTTACGAAATGGTTGCCCACATCTACATAGTGGTTCATGGCTCTGTATATTGTCTAGTCGCCTCTTATTAAGCTTTCACTATTTTTATTGTGCTCTCCTTGGATCCAATTCCTTGACGACAAATTCTCTAGTTAGGTTACCAATGCTTACTACTTATGTGAAAGTGAACTTGCGACCAAAAGGCAATTTTAGATAAAAGCTGCTACCTGTTGGCACTAAACAAATTGCTTTTATATCCTTCTTCCGTGGCATTATTTCAAGAAGGCGATCGCAGTATTGTTGCTGTCGCAGTGCGGATTTATTGTGCGTGTTTTTGTTGCATCCGCTCATTAAACAAAATGAAGTGGCGCCTGCCGTTGTCCCTCTTAAGCCTTCTTGCGTACTGGATCCATCGCCTGGGGTCCAACTTGCCAACAGCATTAAAATAAGCTACTCAGCTGCTGCTTAAATCGGCTTAATTTATGATTTCTCGCTGCAGTTGCGCTTATTGCCCGTGTCCACGATTCTGCCACACGTCGAACGCTAAATGAAGTCCTTTGTGACTGCAATCGCGCGTTGTTTTTGTTGTCGCGCCGCTGCTGGCGTTTACCGCAGCTTGATGTTTTTTTAAGCTGATGTATTTTTGCAAGGGATTTCCACACACACACACACACATACAAACACACATACTCTCGTACGTTTGTATTTCATTATCAACTGAAGGGTCGCAAGCATGCGAGAACAGAAAAAACGCAGACAAAACGAGCAGCGAAGTCAGAAAGTGGCCTCAGATGGAGACGAGAGTAGTAGGAGCTGTATCAGTGCACTGAAAATTGCGATTGTCTTATTTGGCTTCAGATTATGACTATTGAGAGAATGATTCATGGCTTAGAATATATTCAATTTCAGATGGAAATAGTTATAAGCGAGGAATAAAGATCATACTCAGAATTGTGTTTGTCCTTTTCAATATAGTCGTTCAAACATAATCAATACTTTCCCTTTGAGTAGAGTATATTCTACCTCGGCTAACATGCAACGTACTCTGATCCTTAAATGCCTTCAATTTGGCAATAAGTCCCAATTATGCATGGAATGTTTTCTTTTCTGAGTGTACCAGCAGCAACAGCACTCAAATAAAAGGGAAAGCCAAGCCAGCTCAACGCGCCATGGTTGACTAAATCAGCCCAGTCCTCCTCCCTTTGCTGCTTTGCTACTTTGCTGCTGCACACGAACAAATTTTGGGCACAAATAACAGAGCAAATAATACAAAAGCGAAAATTCGGTTTAGTACAAATTTCTGGTTGCCCGGGCCAAGGCACAGCTACCGAATAAAAAAACGAAAACATTGCTGAAAGGATGTTGATGTAGCGTCGACTATTAGCCAACTTAAAGTCTAGACAAGCCCGACTGGTGCTTTAGCTGGCGGTGACCAAGGCAACAATCTGCCCAGCATGGAGCAGCCCCCTCTCTGCTCACACTCCACTCTGCTCAGAGCCAGTGCCCCTACCCCAACCCCAACTCCAACCACCCACATGTGCCATCGTATTCAGAATTCAGTTGTGCGGTCTTTGCATGTAAATCTGTTTTTCATGTTTTGGCAGCGCCTTTGTTGCTGCTGGCAGGCTGCATTTCTTGTTGTTGGCCTGGGCATGACCATTAATTATTTTACTTGTGCTTTGTTTTTTGTCTCTGCAAGACTATGAAAATTCATAATTTTGAACTGGCATTTTTTTACTCCAGCTGTCTGTTTGGCAAGCCAAGTAAACAAAGTAGATGAGTGAGTGAGGCTGCCTGTCTGTCTGTCTCCCTGTCGGCCTGTCGCTG